GATTAGGGCTCGAAAACTGATCTGCGGTCCGATTTTACATTTTTCACCATATATACGGAACGAATTGATGGAATTTCTTGAAAATTGATATTTGAGTTCTGGTTGTTACCGAAACTAACTGGCGAGTATTTCAGGGAATTCGGGTAGCACAAAGCGAAACTCTTCTAAGAGCCATATTTACATTTTTCTAGGTATGTTATCTATAAGCTTACTAATGTCCTAAAAAGTGGAAAGAAGTATTTAACAGACATTTTTATAATATTCTGTAACATTTTCATTTAGTTAGACAATACACAATGCGGTCGGTTGTGTGCTGAACACATCAGATTTTTTACTTTATCTTTCATTTTTCTTATTTTTCTAGCAACACTGGCTTTTAACTTGTTAATTTATCAAAAAAAAATAAAATTTGTGTAAAAGTCGTTTGAGTAATAAACACAGTATAGATAGAAATAGATTATATTAATATTTATTTCAAAATGCACTTAACGCACTGAAATAAAACAGAAAAAAATTGTTTTATGTAATTTTAAAAGAATTCTGAGAAATAATTTTTCGGATGAAATAAAAGTCAACAAAAAATCCACTATTTTTAATTATTCTCATAGTTATCAAAAATCCACAACAATATTTTAATTTGGCGTTTCAAAGTGCCGTTAGAGAACTAGACAGAGGAAGACACATATTCATATGAACATCAATAATCTGTGCGTACGCGAACGACATTGCAATCATAGCAACATAAGTTGATAAATATAAAGAAGTATTTTCTACTTGAACATATTCTTTATACTACCAGCGGATCAGTGCCAGGAGCTTACTGAGAAATAAGTAAATTGATACTGAGTCTTTACGTATGTCTGTTTACAAAACTTCTACACCTTTGAAGACTGAAACCTGAAATTTTATATGTACTTAGATTTTTACTAGAAACTAATTTTCGTAGAACATAATTTTTACCCATCTCCCCCCTCTAAAAGTTATACCCCCCCAAAAACCTTAAAAATGCCATTTTTGAACAATTTACTGCAGTAGAATCATATGCATTTTTCAAATTTTACAAACACAGAAAAGCAGTGGGTTGCTTCTTCTATCTCGGCATACTATACTTGAACATTAAAAAAAAAGGCCCTTCCAATTTACCGTTACATAAAATCCGTTTTTTTCAAATTTTTGATCTTGTTTTTCTTCTAGACCCCAGGTTGTGGGAGCCTGAAATTTTGGAAGCTTTTACAAACTAACAAATAGTTCATTTTGTTAGAAGAAATTTTTTTCCCATCTCCATTCCCTATCAAGTTATCGCCTCTTGAAATTTGTAAAATTTGAATTTTTGACGCCTTTTATTTCTGATACCGCAAGCTTTTTCAAATTTCTATAAACGCAGAACGGTATGAGTAAATTCCATGACAATAAAAAATATTTTAAAATATTTTCCTTAACTCACGCCATTAACCCTTAAAATCGATTATTATGTTAGCCCCTCTTTAAATTAATTTTTGCTTTATTTCAACTAATGAAATCCTAAATATATGCAATCCTAAAAATAGTTTCGTATAGTTGGACCCAACTTTATTAATATTTTCCACTATCTAAAGTGATATTTAACATTATTAAAAATCATAAAATTTACAGTTTAGTGGATGTATTAAGTATTACCACTAATTTTTTAAGGACATATTAGACAATGAAAAACAACAAAGTTTTATAGGAAGGTACTTGTATACAAATATTTTATTTATTTATTTAATTATACACTTACTATGACTAAAGAGAATTTATAAAGATAGTTCATAAAACAGGGCTATACAATATATAATTTTAATATTCTTTGAATATATAATATTCAAAATGTAATAAAAATAGTAAAAAACGATAATCAAAAACGAGAAAAAAAAAATCTGATGTGGTCAGCACATAACCGACCGCATTGTGTATTGTCTAGTTAAATGAAAGTGTTACAGAATATTATAAAAATGTCTGTTAAATACTTCTTTCCAATTTTTAGGACATTAGTAAGCTTATAGTTAACATACTTAGAAAAATGTAAATTTGGCTCTTGGTAGAGTTTCGCTTTGTGCTACCCGAATTCCCTGAAATGCTCGTCAGTTAGTTTCGGTAACAACCAGAACTCAAATATCAAATTTCAAGAAATTCCATCAATTTGTTCTGTGGATATGGTGAAAAATGTAAAATCGGCCCGCAAATCAGTTCTCGAGCCCTGATCTTTCCAAAAAATTTACATGTTCATTGTTTTAATACGGGGAATTCATATATTAAATTTCAATGAAATCGGTTGATTATTTCTCTTTATATACACAAAAATATATATTTGGCCAGTAGTAAACGCCCAGTTGCTGATGCCTGATTTCTTCCAAAAGTTAGGAATTTTTGCGTATGATCGAGCAAAGCTTATATATGAAATTTCAAGTAAATCGGTTGAATACTTTCTTCAAAATGGTGAAGAATGTAAAATCGGCCCGCAAATCCGTTTTCGAGTACTGATCTTTCCAAAAAATTTATACATATGTTCATTGTTTTAATACGAGGAGTTCATATATTAAATTTCAATGAAATCGGTTGATTATTTCTCTTTATATACACAAAAATGTATATTTGGCCTGTAGTAAACGTCTAGTTGCCGATACCTGATTTCTTCCAAAACAAACAAATTTTTGCGAACGGTCGAGCTGAGCTTATATATAAAATTTCAAGTAAATCGGTTGAATATTTTCTTCAAAATGTTCAAAAATGTAAAACATGCCCGCTAAAAAGTGCAGTTCCCGAGGCCTGATATATACCAAAAGTTGATCGATCCGTGTCATGGTGGAAACAAACTTACATATAAAATTTCATCAAAATCGGTTCAGCCGAACTTGAGATACACGTGTGCACACACAGACCGACAGACCGACAGGTTGCTAAAAATAGTTTATTTACACTTCCCTACTATGGAGAAGTACGTTCCCACCGAAAACTCGATATGCAAAATTTGTTGCCATCACATAACCTACCTATTGTTTACACAATACGGTCGGTAATAAAGTTGATGTTGACAATAACTTTTCAAGTTGAATGGCAGCTAGCAGAAGGCGTCAAGCAATTTCAATGACCTTAATCAAATACAATTCCGCCAATAATTCGCTTTTGTGAATTTACAATACTATATCTTCTATAATTTTTGAGATATAGCCAAATAAATTTTGAAGTTGTATGTCACGTACTAGAACTAGTACTCCAATCATATCCAGTTTAAATAGGGTTCTGGCATTTATTATCATAAATCATTTGTGAAAATTTATTGAACTTAGCTCAATTAGTTTTTGAGTTATCATTGGGACGGATGGACGTGCAGGTGGACGGCCGGACAGACGGACAGACAAAGCTAAGTCAACTCATAATTTGATGCTGAACAAAAACATACTTGAGTCTATATCTCAGACCATTATTTCTTAGCGCTACAAACTATTTAACAAATTTAGTATAACCTTCCAACATACATTCGTACGGGTACGGAGAAAAAGATGGAAATGTATGCAAGGCAACAAAATTAAATAAGTAGGCAGACAAAAAAAGTAAATGCTTATATCAAAATTCAAATTCAAACATAATGATAACAAAGCTATGCGGAAACTAAAGAAAGAATAAATAAAGTTCAGCCATACCAATGGATTTTAAAAAAACTTTTTTCCCTTCAATAAGGAAAGATAATGCTTTAAAAATCAATCTGTTTAGTTACTGCATTATTAAAAATGATTTCATTTATATACCAAAATATTTCAAAGATTGCATACATTTGGAGTGAGCAATTTATGCAATCTTTAAAATAAAACCAAAAAAAGAAAAATTTATTACAGACGTGTTAACATAATACTTGAATTTAAGGGTTAATGGCGTGAGTTAAAAAAAATAATTAAATTTTTGATAGCACGGCATTTTCGGAATTATAAGGTTATTGGAATTTTTCCAATTATAAAAATTTCATAAGATGGTAACTTGGAAAAGGTGGAGGTGGAAAAAAGTTTTCTTTTAACAAAATAAATTATTAACGAAATAAATTAAATAACGAAATAAATTATAAAATCTAATAGCTGCTAAAATTTCGCACTTCAGCAACCATTAAACGGGTTTTAAATAAGAGTTAATATTAGCAGCGATATTGCTTTTCTAATATGTAATAATTACATACGTACTATGTAAAAAATCTACGTACGGCGTAGAAAAAGCCCAACTCTATTTGTTTTCAAAAAAAATTCTAAAAATCAAAACAAGAAAGATGTAGAATATAATATTACTTTTATTAAAAATCAAAATAAAAACAAGTAAAAACATTTCAGTCGCTATAAATCCAAGAATAATACTCTGCTCTTTGACAATCTGAATTCAAAAATTTGTTTTTGAAATATTTGGAATTAACTTCGATTGCTAAATGGCAATTACTTGAATCTGTCAAACCACTCGATAGAAATTTCACGGATATTTTGTCTGAACCTAGCCTCATTATTTTTCTAAATATTTACAATTTTCTTTTGGAGTTGTTTGGCAGCTATCCGAACCTGCCCAGTCACTCCACCAAAACTTCAGAAATATATCTGACCTGAAATTGGATATACGACTGCCAAGTTTCATGAATCTAACATAAATATTTTTCCAAATATTTAAAATTAACTTTCGAAGTTGTATGGCAGCTTCCCGAACTTGTCAAGTAATTCCACTAAAACTTCGGAAATATATTATCTGAGCTGAAATTAGGCACACGACTGCCGAGTTTCATGAAGCTACCTTTATTCCAAATTTTTAAAATTAACATTCGGAGTAATTTATTTATTTATTTATATCAATCTACTGGGAAATCTCCCTTACAGATTTCAGATGTATAATTAACTTAAAATAAGATAACAAAAGAATAAACTTAACAAAATATAAGTAACTAAAAATAATTGTAAAAATAAGTAACAATATATCATAAAACTAAAAAAAAAAAAAAGAAAGAAAAAAAAAATTTAATGAAAAAACTTGGTGATTTCTCTTTTAAGCTTATCTCTGTTATAATGGAAATCGATCTGAGAAGCACAAACATTTAGTAAACGTTGAGAATTTGCTATAGGCTCTGAAAAGCCGTAGTTAGTTCGGTGGGAATCTAAATATAAAACACGACGAGCTTTTACATTACGAATTGGCGCATAAATATTGTACAAATTTAAAATAAACGGGCAATTTATTCTCGCAGACAAAATATCGTAAGAATATATAACTGATGCAACATTACGTCTAGATTCAAGAGTTTGAATGTCTATTAACTTACATTTGGCAATGTAGCCAGTAGCATTCATCTCGCAAATAAACTTGCGTAAAGAAAATCTAACCATATTTTTCTGTACTGATTCAATACGTTTAATATGTTTAGTGTAGGACGGCATCCATATAGGTGCGGCATACTCAAGATGTGGACGAACTAATGATGTAAACAAGCTTTTGAAAGTATACGGATCACAAAATTGAGAACAATTCCGCTTGATAAAACCAAGCATAGAAAACGCCTTAGATATAATGAAATCAATGGGAGCATTAAAAGTGAGCTTACGATCAAGAACTACACCTAAATCTTTAGTTTCATCAACCACATTTAAAAGAGAGTTATTCAGATTATAATTAAAATCAAAGCAACTTTTCGTTCTATAAAATCTCATTATTTTACATTTTTCAATATTCAATATAAAGCCATTTAAGGAACACCATTTATAAAATCTTTCAATATTTAGTTGAAGCCTATAACAATCATCTAAACAAGTAATAACTGTGAATATTTTAGTTTCATCAGCAAATGATAAGAAAGAACAATCCATATCAAAACCACTATCATTTGTAAGTAGTAAAATCCGGTCATCGACCTGAAAACCTCGTGCAACTGCGTTATGTACTGAATGCAAGAAAACATATAAATTAGAAGTAGTGGATCTACCTCTCATGAAACCATGTTGATAAGGAGAAATATTTTCCTTGACTAAAAAATAAATTTTATCTGTGACAATAGATTCAAATAGCTTTGGTATAGCAGAAAGTTTAGCTATAGGTCTATAATTTTTAATGTTTAACCTTGAACCACTTTTAAAAATAGGTACAATATAAGAGAATTTCCATTCTTCAAGAAAAATACCTTCTTTCAATGATATATTAAAAATAATTAATAGAGGTTCAGAAATGCAGATTATACAATTTTTTAATAGAAAATTTGGTATTCCATCGGGGCCAGCACCCAGATTGAGATCCAACTGAACAATTTAATTGAAAACGTCACTATAAGATAATTGCATTTACCCGAATCAAGAATTTCATCAATATTATTATAATAGTCTGGTGGTTGAGAAACAGATAAATTTATGTAAACTGACTAGAAGTAATTTGCAAATAAATTGCATGTAGACTGAATATCAAAGGCCGTAGAATCATTGTAAGAAATACCAATAGAAAAACCAGATGATCTCTTACGCGTGTTTATATAGCTCCAAAAAGATTTAAGGTTATATTTTATGTTGGATTCATAACTTAGAACAAAATTTTTATATAAAAAACTACTTAAAAAATCGAACTCTTTACGCAATCTCTGAAATACTATTTGACCTGCAAGAAGTGAACTCCGTTTATATTTTTTAAAAGCACAATTTTTAGCGTTCTTTAAAGAAAGAAGCCTTTTATTATACCACGGCGGAGATATAATACCACTCTTTAAGGGAACGTATTTAAAACTACCTTCAAACAAAATATTTGAAAAGATTTTGTAAGAATTACTAAGACAAGACTTACAATTTAAAATATCAATCCAATTGAACTGAGACAAATAATTATTTAAAGAAGAAAAATCACCAAATTTAAAATTGAATTGCGAAACATTTACAATTTGAACAGGTAATTCATTAATAAATTTAAAATTAATTAACAATGGTGGGTGATAAAGATCTTTTTTTACAATTGGCAATTCAAATTCATTAATTGAAATACAAATATCTTTAGAAACAAAAACTAAATCTAACAATCCATTTAATATATTAAAAACATTATTAACTTGTACCAAACCAAATGAACCAGTGCACGAGTTCCAGTAAAATTTTCAAAATATAAGTAGAATGTAATTGGATACACCTTTACAAAATCTCATATTTATACCTTTATTAGTTTTTGAAATATTTAAAATAAACTCTGAGTTATATGGCAGCTACACGAACCCGTTGTCCGAATTAGTCCAATTACAATATGGTTTTTCCTCGACATAAAAGAAACAACATGTGAAAGTTTGGTGTCGATTGCATTAATCGTTTTTGCGTTATCGTGTGATCGGCAGACGATCGGACAAACCCCTTCACAAAGTGCAGGTATAGAGTATAATCGGAAAGTTATTAAAAATATGCATCAATGCAGCGTCGATGCAAAAAAAAAGTTGCTGTTGCTATACCGATGTGATTTGCTTACCTTGCTGATGAAATATTATTTTGCCTTTTTGGATACTTTGAAAATCATATGGTTTTTGGCGTTTATTTTCAAAAGGTTTAAAACACCAAACTTTAAAATATTACTGTATTGATGCATTTTTTTACGTGATTTTTACATGATTACACAACGATGCTGCAGCGATTACTTTCCGATTATACCCATAATTAACGAATAAAAAAAATTTTTTTTGAAAGAAAAAAGATATTGTTATTAATTTTTACAATATTTATCCGAAATTTGGTTAACTAACTTTTTCTTGAACGTTTAGAAATTTTAAATTGTTATTGAGATCATTGTACCATTTATTTCATGTATTTCTAGAGTGTACTTCCCTTCTTGGAATTAATGTGATGGATGAATGAATACTTAGTTTGTTCATTTCGTATACATACAGAATCAATTTTACTGTTACTAAATCCTTTATCAAAACAATATTATTAGCATAGATTACAGTTGAACAATTTTTTTATAACTCGGTTCTGCATAGTCTCAAGTTTATTTCCTTTGTGATGTGTCCCACAAATTGATACCATAGGTTATGTGGTTATGAAAAAGCAAATAAAACAGATTTTTTTATTTCATTTGGAATTAAATTTGTTCAAAAATTTCATTTTTGAACACTTCAGCTACACCAGAAAGTTTTTTGGTTAATTTTTCTACATAGGTATACCAATTTAGTTGATAATCAATCCATAATTCAATATATTTGTATCTCAGATACTTTATCAAAGATATGTTTCTCTAAATACACATTAAATTCAGGTTGTGCTGTCCCAATAATCATGTATTTCGTTTTTTTTTGATATTGCTAACTAGATTCTGCTAAATTCTAGTTGACTAATGTTATCAGCTTTAAAAACAACACAGATTTTTCAGAAAAGATAAAAAGAAATCTCTGACATAAAGCCACAGATTTTTTTTATCTTCGAAATTTTGTACCTTGGTCAACATTTTTTTGCAATATCGGTATTCATATTTACCTAAATATACAGTCAACTGATTGTGAACAACTTTCCCGAAAATCTTAAATAACACGGAAGTAATACAAATAGGTTTGTAGCTACCAAAATCCGCTTTTGCCCCATTTTTGAAAACCGGTACAATTTTCACAATTTTAGTAATATTTGGAGCTGTATCCACTAAAGGATATTTATACAAAATTTTTAAAGTTTGTTGTAAAATTGCAACATGTTAGATGACATCATATGCACGTCGATTTAATTGGTTTTGTTTAAAGTGTATTTTCCAACAGCATATTTAATCATCTGAAGTTTAAATAGTTTGTCTCGTAATATATAACTACAACAGTCCTATATCCTACCTGCCTATTATATCATTTGGATATAATTTTGCTAGAGCTAATTTTATAGGTCTAAATTATTTCTTTACGGTGGATTTTGAGACATTACTTTGTAATGTTGCTATGGACGCAGCAGTAAGGACATTTTTTGATGTCATTTAACATGGTTTTGCATGCTCAAGTCCAGCGTGATTCTCAATTGAGTTAAAAAACTTGAGAAATAAAAAGAATAAAGCATGGAGAAAATAAGTTAATAATCCTATTCTGTTTTCGTAAATTCATTTCATTCATTTAAACATTCGTGTGAAGTGAGTTATAAAAATTATTTGTCAAATTGCTCTTTGGAATTTAAGCAAAATCCCAAGTATTTTTGGAAATTTGTTAATTCTAAAAGAAAATCTGATCAATTTCCGAACTTTATGACTTACAATAAGTCTAGGAATGATTCACACATAATTTCAAATTTATTTGAAAAATTTTTCTCTAGTGCTTACTCAAATAATCTTTTTAGCACTTTTCCAAGAAAATTTTGAAAAAAGTGCTTTTTAGTTTTACTCTGTCCGTCCGTCCGTCCGTCCGTCTGTCTATTCGTGGGTTTGTTTACAAAATTTCTACATCCTTGAAGACAGAAAGCTGAAATTTTATATGTACATAGATCTTTAATAGAAACTTATTTCGATAGAACAAAATTTTCACCTATCTCTCCCTCTCTAAAAGTTATACCCCCTAAAACCATAAAAATGGTATATTTTAACCACATATGCCAGTGAAACCATAAGCATTTTTCAAATTTTGTAAGAGCAGAAAAACAGTAGCTGGCTTCTTCTATTGCAGATTATTATATATTCTAACATACCATTTCTAAACTTTGCGGCATACCATTTCTAAAAACAAAATGGCCGTTGAAAATTACCATTATCTAAACCCCGTTTTTTCCAAATTTTTGATACTGTTTTTCTTCTACACCGTACGTTACAGGAGTCTGAAATTTTAGGTTCCTAGATATTCATAAATAGTTTATTTTGTTAAAAGAAAATTTTTTTCCGTCTCCACCCCTCTCAAGTTGTCAGCTCTCGAAATTTATAAAATTTGAATATTTGGTATCCTTTATTTCAAAACCACAAGTTTTTCAAAATTTGTGTAAACGTTGAAAGCTAAATTCCATGCCAATAAAAAATATAATTATTTTTCTTAACACAAACAATTGACTTTATAAATCTTGCATAAATCGTTCATCCTAAGTATATGCAATCCTAGAAATAGTTTCGTATATAAATAAAAATAATTTTAGTAGTGTGATAGGTATACATAGACTGTATTTAAAAGCAGTATTTTCACTTGTTACGGGAAAAGTGCTTTTAAATACAGTCAACTTTAAAAAAAGTGCAATACAAATCATTGGTTTGACCCAACTTTATAAACTTCATCGGTGACACTTATGATCGTGAGATCACTGTGTATACCGGCATTACGACCAGGGGGCGTTTACAATGTCTGATAATACCTAATTTGAAATGTTTGAATAGATTGCCCCATAATTGAATACCTTAGGGCCAGACAAGCTTCAATATTTGATTATATATCTAAACTTATCAAACCTATTAGATTAAATATCAAACGGAGAACGACTTTCCAAGAACCAGTTAAACTTCCTATATTCCTCCCCGAGCTCAGCTCTCTTTTTCTTAATTTTCCTTCCATCTGAGCGTCCAACGTTATTCTCAAGTACTTCGCAGTGTTTGCGAACGGAATTAAAACGCTATTCATCCGAACGGAAAATGAATTGTCACTTTTAGATATTAGTGAAATTCACGTGTACTGATTTCACCTCGTTAAATTTAATATTCCACTTTCTACTCCATTTTAGATCTCATCACTTGCCTTTTGTAATTTTTGTGTAGATTCATTTTCATTTCGTTATATTCCGACAACTTCTGTATCATCTCAAATGTAACTGTTGTTACTCCTTCCGATGCAGGAATATCACACGTGTATAACAAATATAATCGGGCCCAATATACTTCCTTGTGGTACCCCCGACTTGATATCCTTAAGCGAAGAGTACTCATCTTCCTGTTATTAGTCAGGTAAAATTCCAGCATGTTAACATACTGTCTTCGTAGTAATCGTCTAAGTTTTTTTTATTAATCCACAATGCCAAACCTTATCGAAGGCCTGGCCTACGTCCAAAAATGTGACAGAACATATTGATTTTTTTTCCAATGAATTGATTTTTTTACTATTTCAATTACTCGATGAATCTGATCTGTGGTTGAGTGGTTCCGGCGAAAACCTAATTGATGATTCGGGATTAACTTTTTATTTTCAATTATTGGCTGAAGCCTTCTCTAGGAGTTTTGAAATCATCGGAAACAATGAGATTAGTCTATAAGAAGTCGTCTTGTCTATAGGTTTGCCGGATTTGTGCAGCATAATTATCTTTGCAACTTTACAAATGTTAGGCACGTAATTAAACCTTATACACGCATTTTTTAGGCCCGTAAGCATCGTTATACTGCTTTTGGTAAATTTTTTCAAAATATCAGCCTATACTAGGTCAAAGCCCGGAGCTTTTAGTTATAAGAGTCCTGATTTCCTCTATAACATTTCTTTCAGATTCCTCATTATAATGCACGCCTTGACTGTCATGCGAACAGAATACATCAGCCAAATGATCCGCAAACGCATTTGCCTTGTCTTTGTCAGTTTTTGACCACGTTTTGATATCTAGCTTTATCAATAGGGTCACGCGTTTGCCGCCACCTCTTTCTGGTCCCCTTTTTTTGTCTTATTTTTGCTAGTTTATGTAGAGAATACTTAATGCCGTTCCTTCGCATACCATTAATTTTCGAACTAATCAAAACCGCATTTTGAATAGTTTAAGGATAACTTTCGGTCTCCCCATCTATATCCTGCGTCGTTCTTATTCTTATTCTTAGATCCATTTGTCGTTCAATCTCTAAACGAAATCTTGACCAATCTGTAGTTCCATTTGTCAGCGCAGGTTTCGCTCTTTTCATTACAATAGTTTCCTTAAGTTTAAGAACAACCACCGAATGATCGGAGTTTAGAACAATAAAGTTTTTCGCGATCCGTTTTGTTATTGGCCAATACGTTGGCTTCGCAGTAGACTGAAGAAGGCACTCCGCGCCGCAACTTGCTGCCCTTAGTTCTCTTCCTCTAGTTGAAATATGTCTTTTACCTCAATCAGTGTGCTTGGCGTTAAAGTCACCCTCCAATGTAAATCTGTCGCCTAGGTCGGCCAGAACGTTTTGAAACATTTCTGCCGTCATTTTAAATCTGAGGTGACAATATAATGCAGCCACTCTAAATTTTTGCTTATTCAAACTAATCTGAACCGCCGTTATTTGCATTCTTTCGGTTTGCATCTCGCGCAGATCATAATGCACTATATTTTCCTTTATTATTATCGCCGTTCCAACCCTCGCTATATTTCCAGGGTGGTTCGAGTTGTAAATTCTATAGTATCGAAACTGAATCCTGCTTCTTAAAGTTATCTGTTTCAATTACGAGGAACACGTCTATATTCTGTGTATGCAAAAAAACTTTAAGCATTGCTTTTTTATTTGCAATACCATTGCAATTCCATGTTGCCATTTTAAAATTACCTTGTTTCATCTTTTACCAAGTTTTTTGTATTCGATTTTTTCTCTCGTTCTCTAAAATGCCCAACCTCTGAGTTGTTTTGTCCATCATTTCTAGCATTATATTATGCATTTTATATAAAACATTCACGTCACTAGCACTTGCTTAGAGAACGTCCTTGTATGTCACATCTTTTGATATTATTCTCGAAGTGAATTGCCTCGGTGGCCGGTCAGAATTCTTCTTCAAATTGTTGTTGTTGTTATTTCTATGTATTTGCAGTTCCTTAGTTACAAGGCGTCCCATATAGTTTGCTGGGTGCGTCTCCAAACAATTGGAGCACTTTTCTGCAGTACTTCTTGGCTCACTACAATCTGCGGTTAAGTTCCTGCCTGCACATTTAACACAATTTAATTCTCTCTGGCAAAATTTTTAGCCCATACCTTTGACACCTTTTACACTGGGGAATGGTCCTATCCTTTCGAAGTGCCTCTATCCTATTTTTCATCTTGCTTATGTGATCGATTTCATAAATTTTTGTCATCTCCTTGTCATTTGAGAACGTTAACATAAATAGCGGTAAAGGCACCATAATGTTTTTCCCATTTTATTTTATTTTTTAATTTAATGGTTACATCTAAGATCTTGTAGCCCTTAGAGCTTAAATCTTCTATTATATCTTCCTCTTCACAACTGGGTTGAAGATTCCTTACCATGACTTTTATTGATCTGGCTGGTTTTTCATAGGTATCCCATTCTGGTCCAGTTCGATTCATGGCCCTGGTAAGATTCCTGTAATCCATTTCGGAACTAACAATGAGCTTAAATTGATTGTTACTCATCATTTTAACCTTATTATTGATGTCGTTATTTCTTAATGTTGACTTTATTGGATTATAGTATGAACCAAATTATTAAGGACTACTGGAGGCGGCTTAGATTTTTATAGACTTTATACTAAAAAAATGTTTAATATTTTTAATAAAAAGTAATGTACACAAAATTTTTTTCTTCAAATTAATTATTTTAAAGTAATATACATCAAAACTTCAACTTCAAAAGAATTTCAAGCCAAGATTTATTCAAACTTTCATTGAAAACTAGTACATAGTAAAAGATAACAATTCTTTCGCGGTTTTTGTATACCTACATTTTTGTTTTTCCTTTTTCACTCCTAGAAGGAGCATAGGGCTAGTGCATGATATCATGCCCTAGTTTCATAGCGTAGGTGACTAGTCTGCCGTAGTTTTTTTTATTTATATTAAATATTTAAGTTTATTAATATTTACTGTTTATTTTTCTTAGTTTATAATATTCGATATTCTTAGTTTAATTAATATTCGATATTAATATTACGAATATTTGAAAATTACTACATAGACTAAATAATATTTGTAACAAAATTGTGTATAACTTAAATGGTATATAGTTTTGTAAACGTTTCCTAAAAAGATATTGAATTAAATTTTGTTGTCCGTTTGTATATGGATCCTATATACATATTTAAACAAACGTACAAACGATAGTGAAAAATGAATAAATTTTAGTATATTTTAATAAACTGAATTTCCGAAATATTCCATGAATTTCCGAAAACTGCACAAGGCGAATGATGTTAAGTCGATTTAAGAAAACTGAATGCCGAAAATGTGAAAAGGCAAAACATCTTAAGTAGACTTAAGATAATTTGCCTTTTTTCCAAATGGTGTATTTTAAAAGTTTTTACAAGAGAATTTCATCTTAAGTCGACTTAAGAAAGTAAAATTTCACGGTTTTGCATAACCTCTTATGTCGACTTAAGATTATTTACCATTTTAGTGTAATTATAAAAAAATCCAAAAATAAAAAAGGCATAACATCTTAAGTGCGAATTTGAATTAATGGTCTATGATGTAATTTAAAATTTTTGTTCAGAATTGGTGGTGACAAATCAACATGGGTTTTTAAAAATGAAATCAACGGTCCCCAACCTAGTCGAATGTAGTTCTAAATTTTTAAATACAATGGAATCCGGTTCCCAGGCGGATGTTATATACACTGATCTGAGTAAAGCTTTTAATTTACTACCACATTACGTTATTCTTTTCAAGCTGATGAAGTATGGTTCTCCTCTCCTTTTTATTAAATGGGTTAGTTCGTACTTATGTAGTAAAAAATATGGCGTTATTTTTCGTTCTTGCACCTCCAATTATTTTGTTGCAAATTTGGGTGTACCTCAAGGTAGTCATTTGGGGCCTATTCTATTCATTATCATTATTAATGATGTCACTCGTATAATAAACAATAGTGATATAAGTATTTATGCTGATGCCCTGCTTTTGCAGCGTGACCTAAATTCATTTGCACATTGGTGCGATTTTAGCAATCTTTTTCTTAATATCTCGAAATGCTCCGTCGTTACTTATTCTCGTCGATCCTTAACTATTATTTTTGACTATTTCATAAATAACGATAACCGAGTTAGATACAGGTTTTTATGAGTTAGGCGTGTTCGGAATAATAAAATTTACAATCTGCCTTGTCATCGCACTAGTTATGAGAAGAATGAACCTATTTCTAGAATGTTAGCTGTTGTAAACGAAAACAATTCCCGTGAAGAGTTAGCGTTAACGAAAGTTCATCTTAAGAACACGCTTTTCACAAATTACATTGGCTTATTCAATTTACAGCGAATTATTCAAATATCATATATAATGCTTTATATATTTGAATAATTCACTGGCCTACATTAATGAGTTACTAATTTTGCGATGGTTTTTTTTCTTAAGAATTTTTGAGTTAAACTTTTTGCCAAGTAAGCATCTTTACACCCGTATGAACGTCTGTTCAAAGGGTATACTAAATTTGCCTTAAATTTTTAACGCTAAGAAATAATGGTTTGAAATATAGACTCAAGTGTATGTTTTTTATGAGTATCGAATTCTGAGTTGATTTAGCTTTAACTAAATTAAACTAATAAAAACTAAAAAAAATAAAAACTAAAAAAAACTAATTGAACTAAGTTCGCCAAATTTTCACAAAATGATTTACTATGGTAAATGCCAGAACCCTATATAAATTGGCTATGATCGAGCTACTGGTTCGGGTAGCTGCCATACATTTTTAAAATTTATTTAGCTATATATCAGAAACTATAAAAGCTGTGGGTTTGAAATTTCACACGAGCGGGTATTTTAGTATGACCAATGTGATTAATAAAATTTGTTGAAAGTGCTTGGCTCCTTCTGGTAGATGTCATGCAACTTCAAAAGTTATTTGGCTATATCTCAGAAACTATAAAAGCTGTGATATAGAACTTTCGCTGAAGTAAATATATACGTAGAAGTAAATATATAAATTAACGTTGCACATTGTTTCAGACGTTAACCTATCTTTAACTTATTAGAACTTTCGCAGAAGTAAATATATACGTAGAAGTAAATATATAAGTTAACGTTGCACATTGTTTCAGACGTTAACCTATCACCTTTCACCAAAAAATTTTAATTTAAAAATTGCGAAATCGTCAACACAGCTATTTTCGGTGTGAACTACCTTAAAATTTAGTTCACATAAAAATTCGTTGAACGGTCACCTTGCAGCTGATATCGTTCTGACATTGAAAGTAGAGCGATCGGTTACAAAAATTAAAATTTTATAAAATTTGTTTATTAATATTTGATAATCAGAAGCGATAGCTAATAAAATTTTTGTTTGTAAAATTAAACTAAAATATTGTTTTTTTTATTAAAATAAAATAAAGTATTTTTTTCTGATAAAATATAATAAAAGAAGTGAAGGTAAAGGACAGAACCGAGGTGGACGCTAGAGAACTTAAATTGGCGTCCGAGCAGGGACTACCTAGGTTGTGAGAAGTGTGGGTGAATAACACTGTGAAAAAAAAATAAAAAACTTGTGAAACAATTTTGAAAAAAATAATAAAATCTTTAGAGAAATTTTGATATAAATGAAAAACCAAATAACAAATAAAAAACAAATAAAAATAAAGTTGGGTCAAACCAATGGTTTGTATTGTAGCACTTTTCCCTATAACAAGTGAAAATACTGCTCATATATTTAGGATGATGCATATACGCAGTCTTTGAATAAAGCAAAAATTATAAAAAGTTGGTTTAACATAATGCTCGATTTCAAGGGTTAATTGTGTGAGTCAAGAAAAATATTTATATTTTTTAATTTTATGCAATTTTCCGTTAGCTTTTTGCGTTTATAGAAATTTGAAAAAGCTTCCGGTTTCGGGAATATAAGGCGTCCAAAATTCAAAGTTTACAAATTTCAAGAGCCGATAACTTGAGGGGTGGTGGAGATGGGAAAAAACTCTCTTCTAACGAAAGAAATTATTCATGAATATCTAGAAGCTGATAAAATTTCAGGCTCCTACAACCTACAAAAAAGGTGCCCCAAAGTAGTCTAAAATAAGCATTTTTTAAAAATGAGAAAAGAAAATAAGCATTTTTTAAAAAAAAATTATAAGAATTTTATAGTGGATCCTATTCTCGTCAACAAGTATCCCCATCAGTAGGGAGAAAAAGAGAAAAAATAACATATTAAGCAAAAACAATAATAGAAATAACAGTAGAATATAGAATTTCGATAACTAACACGATCGATCCTATTAATCGTAGTGTAGAAATTTAGTGCTTAATCTAAAAAGTAATAGAATCTATCTTAGAATTTTAATATAGAAAATTAATTGCCTAATCTAAATAGTAATAGTTTAGACTAATAAACGATTTATTTTATTAATCATAGTGCAGAAAATTTAGTGCTTAACCAAAAGAGTAATAGTGCTCATAAATCTTTCAACTTTGTAGAAAAATTGATATTAAAATTGCTTTACTAATAAAAATTTATTAAATTTACTAATACAATTAATCTTAATTTACTAATAGAACAAATAAAATTGATAACAATTTTGTAGTTAAGTAGATTTTGAACAAAAATATAAAAAAAAAATTTGTAAAAATTAAAACTCATTAAGTGAAAATTAATTATATTGTAAAAGAATTATAATAATATATGGAAATTTGAAATATTTTCTGTCGCATCGGACGAAAATTATATAAGTATTTGATTTTGATTATAAAATAAATTTAACCTAACTCCATACAACATTTTTAAATTTTATAAAATAAATAAATTTTAAATTAAATAATAAATAAAATTATCAATAATTAAATGACTGAAACAATTATATAAAAGGGGGAGAAAACAAGTCAGTTATTACCGACCGTATTGTGTAAACAATAGGTAGGTTATGTGATGGCAACAAATTTTGCATATCGAGTTTTCGGTGGGAACGTACTTCTCCATAGTAGGGAAGTGTAAATAAACTATTTTTAGCAACCTGTCGGTTTGTCGGTCTGTCGGTCTGTCGGTCTGTGTGTGCACGCGTGTATCTCAAGTTCGGCTGAACCGATTTTGATGAAATTTTATATGTAAGTTTGTTTCCACCATGGCACGGATCGATCAACTTTTGGTATATATCAGGCCTCGGGAACTGCACTTTTTAGCGGGCCTGTTTTACATTTTTGAACATTTTGAAGAAAATATTCAACCGATTTACTTGAAATTTTATATATAAGCTCAGCTCGACCGTCCGCAAAAATTCGTATGTTTTGGAAGAAATCAGGCATTGGCAACTAGACGTTTACTACGGGCCAAATATACATTTTTGTGTATATAAAGAGAAATAATCAACCGATTTCATTGAAATTTAATATATGAACTCCTCGTATTAAAGCAATGAACATATAAATTTTTTGGAAAGATCAGGGCTCGAAAACGGATTTGCGGGCCGATTTTACTTTTTTCACCATTTTGAAGAAAGTATTCAACCGATTTA